GGCACAGGGCGCCCCGGCTCAGAGGCAGGTCCAGGGACACGTGCCGGCTGGGGCAGGGGCAGCCGTGTTCCTCGTCCAGGGCCGGCGGCGGGCTGGGGAAGGCCAGCTGGGGCATCGAGGCGAAGGGCTTGTCCCCCATCGCGTGCTGGGGCATCTCGCCCGGGGAGGGTCAGTGACAGCGGTGGAAGTCTTGACGGTAGTCCAGTGGGCGGCCTGTCCTGTGAAGAGAATTTCTGGTGAGCAGACTTGCAGCCACCCACAAACGCAGTCACGTCAGCGAGAACACACCTGCATGCCTGTCCCTTTGGGGTGGCCGCTGGTTTTGCCTCCCTGGCCAGCCTCCTTCCCAAACCCAGGACCCCAGCTGGACCCTCACTCAGGCCAGCCGGTCTCCAGCCACGGCTCAGCGGGCAGCGGGCATGTCCCCTGCTGCATGAGGCCTCAGACCAGAGCTGAGATGTGGCAGGACCCAGCTGGACGCCTGTGCCCGCACCTCCCCCCAGCGCCTCTGCATGACTGGCTGAGCTGTACGCTCTGTCATCGGCAGCTGAAGGTGACAGAGACGTCCCTGTGCGGACACGCTTCGCACTCAGAATCGAGCCTGCGTCGTCCCCAGCCCTCACCCTGCCAGCTTTCTGTGCCCTCCAGTGGGGAAAGAAATCACCTGAGGCCAGAGTTTGGAGGAAGTGAGGAATTAGGATGGGGCGCAGGCCTGGGATCAGACCCCGTGAGAGTCCTCGCACACAGACCGGGACCTGCCCAGGTCCAGGGGCAGTTTGCATTTGGAGAGGGATGGCAGCGCCCGCCTCCCTGGCACCCCCGAGGTGGCACTGTGACCCCACATGCTGTGGATTGAGCCTCAGAGGTTGGGGCTCTAAGTCCTTCCACCATGACCTTAGCTGCCCCTCAGACCGCCCCAAACAGCCGTCTTGCCGAGGCAGCGGGCAGTGGGCGAGTGGCCACTGCTACGCTCCTCTCTGCAACTGGAAAATCATGGCCCCTTAGCCTCCCCCAGGGCTCCCCGCCTCCCCCAGGGCTCCCCCACCTCCCCCGGGGCTCCCCCACCTCCCCGCCTCCCCTGCCTCCCCCAGAGCTCCCTTGCCGGGAAGTGGGTGCAGATGCCACTGGGTGGGGGATGCCACAAGCTTTGAAGAAGCCCACGTCACGGTGCATCTGAGCACCGCTCTCACGGGGCTGTCTGTGCGTGTTGCGTGTGCACACCTGGGCACGGCCCATCTTACAGGTAAGGGAAGTGGTCCAAGATGGGTCGGCAACTTGCCCAGGGACACACGGACGGCCGGCGGCAAGGAGGACTCCACCCACACAGTCTGGCTTCAGAGCCCGTGTGTGTGTCACAACTGTCCTCGCTGTCATTCTATTGAAAGCACCGTGACCGACAGAATGGCGTTCACATATGGGCCGGCCGGTTACGTGGAAAGCTTGTGCTGCGCAGTATCCGCGGCCAGGCCTCGAGGCTGTGGGCGGACAGCGGCAGTCCCACCCGTCATTCCCCTCCCCGAGCCTGTTCCCGGTGCCGCGTCTGTTCAGAGTGCCACCGCCTCTGTGCAAACTGGCTCGCCAGGCTCGGCCACGAGAGAACTAGAAAGACAAGCTAGGGACAGTGAGCGCTTCCTGGAGGAGGGGCGGTGCACCCCCAACACACGGCAGGCCAGCTGCCAAAGCCGCTGTCCCTCAGACGTGGGGAGCAAACCCTTGGCTTGCCGTGCAATGTCATGCACGGTGACACGCTCGAGGCCTGAGTCAGGACGGCTCTGCCACCTGCCCGCCTCGTCACTCAGACGGGCAGCCGAACGTGGGGATATAGGAAGACGTGGTGTCACCAAAATCCCAAGGCCCGGAGGCCGCCCGTGGTCACAATGCGGCCATCTTCTTCCTCGATGCACGTGCGCACGCACGCAGACACACACTCACGAGCACATCCGTGTGCGGGCGCAACACGCATGTACGCGAACACAACCATCTGCATGTGCACGCACACGCACACGCACACGCACCACAGGCGGGGAGCCCTAGCCAGGCCTGGGGGCCAGCAGGTGCCTGGAGAGGCCGCCCTGAAAACAAAGCGCCAGCAGCGGGGGGCCCGGCCGCCCCCCCCCCTCCGTGAGCGGCGAAGTTCAACCTGAGCCAAACGCTGTGGTCCCTGGAATGACAGACGAAGCTCAGCCCAAATCACACCCAGCACAGACGTGCGAACTGAGAATCCCTCTCAGCCATCCTCGTTGGTGGTGGCCGGACCCGAGGCCACCTCCCCCGATCTGTGACCCCACTCCCCCTCATTCCAGTCAGTCTGCCTGAAGTTCTGCTCTGGATCCTGCTCCTGTCAAAGGCCGAGTCCCTTCTCTAGAGGGCTGAGGGCCTTATCGGCGAGTCTGGATCACAAGCGGGCAGCCGGGCCCCTGGGACGCGTGATGCGTGACTCGGGCTCTGATTTAGGAAGCATGCCTGCCAGGGAGCCCTGGCGTCCGGGATCCGTCAGCGTCGGCCCTGAGAGCAGGGCTGCGTCACCTGGACACTCGCGGCCACCGTGGGAGGGGCCTTTGTCCCCGGGCACCCCGGGGGAAGTCCCTGCAGAGCTCTCGCCGTCACTCAGCACGTCCAGGCAGACAGAGTCCACTCCTGCACACACGGACTGTCTGGGGAGGTGGGTCCTTCGTCCCCACCTTACAGACGGGGACTTCCGCCACCAAGCCAGTGAGCTCCCCACAGCCCTGGACTCCGCTGTTGCCCCAGGACCAGGGACAAGGTCTGTGGGTGCTCCAACTGCGTGACCCCACAGCTGGTGGCTCTGCCTGGCGCCCCAGGCTCCTGCGGCTGCGGGACGTGGGTACCTGCCCCCCTCCTCCCGCCGCACAGGGCTACCGGGCTCTCTCTGGGGAGCCCGCCAGGGGGCGTAACCGAATCCTCCTGGCCTGTCCCTGGTCAAGCGGGAAGTGGCAGGCTCCCAGGCAATGACAGTGAGTGGGGAGGGTGATGGGGACCCTGGAGCCTGGGGCTTCAGCGGGGAGGGCAAGGGTGTGCGTGTGCACATGCGTGCGCGCACTGTGCGTGTGTGCACGTGCGTGCGTGCACGTGTGCATGCGTGTGCTCATGCCCGCACCCGTCCACAGGCTGCCCTGGCCCATCGGGCTGCACCTTGAGCCGTCTCTGCTGCCAGCGGTGAAGAAACTGAGGCCCGCGCCCCCTCCCCAGCCCCCCAAGTCGCACCGTGAGAAGTCAGGGGCCTGAGCAGGCGCTGGGATCGCGGGGCCGTGAAGGACTGGGGCGGTGTGGACGAGACCTGCTTCCTCGTGTCCTTGGATGCTCGCCCGGGCCCTCACGCGTGTGCTCCCTCCGTGCCCCGGGCGCAGGAGGTGGAGGGGTGCAGGACCCCCAAGTGATAGCTCACGCCCTGGCGGTGGTGGTGGGCCCCTGGACCCCATCCTATGCCCACCCCTGGGGAGCCTGGCTGCAGGGCTCTGGCCGGCTCACAGCCCCAGGTAGGCTGGAG